TCGGGTCTTTAGGCTATTGTGGACAAACATGGCTACTCCACCGCCAGTCCGGTTTACCCGGTCATGACGGAGCAGGATGTAATTAGGCAAGGAGACTGAAGATGATGGAATATAAGGTTTGAGCCAGGTTTCGGATATTGCTATGATATGATAAAAGTTTTGGGTAAAGTATTGCAGGAATTCGTCATAATGGGCAGAAAGTGATTGAGAGTTAACTTGACATGTGATTAGGGAACTAGACATACAGTGGATTTGGAGAGAAACAGTCAGTGTTTGGTAGCGAGAAGACAAAACGAGTAGAAAGTACAGAAAAGCGATTATCGTACATGAAACTAAGTGAAGAAAAAGTAATATTAACATTAAAAATAAATAAAGAGAATGTACTTGAAAATAAATAGATTGATGAGTGACGGTGTAGAGATAGCACTAAGAGAAGAAGTAAGACTATTTTAATGAGGCTAAGGGGTTGACGGCTTCTAGGTAGTCAGTCAAATACATCTAGATCCGAGGCCTGTTCTATCAGGATGACTCTATGTCCGTCCTCTTTTCGACACCGCACCTTTCCGGAAGCAAACCACGTATATTTGATTTTTCCCGCCGCTCTCTTCTGCCGGGCTAGCCAATAGAGGTGTCTGTTTGTGCGAGTCATCTCTTCACCCAGATAAATTCGGTGGCAGTCATTTTCCTGCCAACCGATATCCCGCGTGGAGAAATCCCTCTTCACTTTCCTTTTCGTAATTAGATCATCTCTAATTGATTGCCTGACAAAGCGTGCGATAACAGGCGGTGGTCGCGAGTCATCTTTTCGGCTTCTGCGGCGATGTACGTTGTCCAGGTCCTCCACACTAAGCCTGATCCCCAAGCTTGCTCCTATACTGGTCACCAAAGCAGCGGGCGTTTCGCCCGGTCGCTCCGGTATACCGCGGATCTCCAGTGATCTACTCAATAGTCCTTGCTCTGCGTTATTCAAGCGAACCTCTAATTCGCCCACTCGGGATTTGAGTGCTTTGTTTTCTAATAGTATTTCCTCAAACTTTTTAGCTTGACCTTCCAGATGTTTTTCAATCTTCGTCAGTCTTTCGTTTAGTTCAAAACTGAGCTCTCCGTATTTATCTAGTGCTGTTTTCATGTTTTTTATATCTTCGTTCACGGTAGCGTCTAAACGATTTACTGCCGCAAGTATTTCTGAGAGGGACGGCTCGGTATTTTGTTTTTTCACCTGTTCGCACTTAGAGCAAACCCATGTTTTTTTAATTATTTTTAATGCTTCGGTGTCTTTATCATTAAGGTTGACGCACCTACCATGAAAAATTATTTTACACTTAACGCAGTGTATATTGTTCTTATCTTCGCGTGCGATAGAGTTGTTGCAAATATTACACTGCACCATTTTTTAAATTTATTAATGAGAATTACTTCGCAATTAAAATATAAATAAATACCAGGACTGTTGACGGTAGTAAACAACGTCTAATGCTGGTCTAATGCTGTTAGGATTAGTAGACGCCTGCCAGCTCGTTGCTCCCAGAACTCTATCAATCTCGCTGCGTTTTCTTTACTCCGATTATTGTGAAGATCCGACACTTAATAGCTTGATTAATAATAGTGTTTTTTTAAGAAAGAGAAGAAAAAAAAAAAACTGAACTTAACTGAACTGAAAATTAAATTAAAGTAAACTGAGTGTATTATATGAACGAATTACACCGATGTACACACCAGGGCGTCTCAGGCCAGACTTCTTATTTATCTTATTCAATTGCTAAAAACTATTTATATTATCATATTAGTAATAATATTCTCAATTATCAGCTAATATTAACTGTTGCCAATGTTGATAGTAATCTGTGACTTGCATATTAGCCAAGTTGGTTGGTTTTTTAGAGAAAATATTTAAAGCATCAGAGAAAATGTTAAAAGCAAGTCAAATAATAAATAACAAAACATGCATTTCATTATGTTGATTGTTTTCTCAACATGCAATGCCTAGTAATTCTCTATAGATGCTAGATGGTACTAATCATCTCTATTTAAGCTATGAACACACTCTTGGCCAATATATCTAATGTTGGGACAATATGTTTGGAGGACAACGCACAAGAATCCTTCATGAAGATCAGTTTCTATCTGAAGCTGATCATGAATTCAAACATTTATTGCAAGAAGTGCTCGCATATACAATTTATTAAAATAAATTATACCATATTCCTTTTTGTTGACGCTAAAAAATCTTTTAATTTATTTGTTTCATCAGCAATTTTCTTCAAAGTATTCTTTAACTCTAAGATGCGTGTGTCTTCCTTTGTATCCACACGTTCTATGTCTGAATTTGGATCATGTTCTCCATTGACCTTTGAACATAATAGATGGAAACAATGCTAATAATCAAGAAATTTTGATTAAATTATATAACTAAAAATAAGCTAGTTGATTGTAATATCACCTCAACACTTTTTTTTTTAGCCTAATCATTGTTACATTACATGTTGTAAAAGTTGACTTTTATAAACTTCTGTTAGTCTAAACTTTTTTTTTTTAATTCAAAATGTATAGAGCTTATCACTTATTTACCTGGTTGTAAATATATTCTTAATTCGTGTTTATTTTAAAGCATAATTTCAACATTAACTGATCTTATTCTACAGTAAAATTAGGAGCAAATAATAATAATGTAAGTAAAAATACCATAATTTAATTTATTTACTTTTTAAAAAATATATTAAAAAGATTTTTTCTCCAAGACACAGTATTTTTAATTAAATAATTCTAAACCTTATCTATAATTTTCAAGATTCATATAAATATAATTAAACGAAAATAGTGTGCCATTTATTTATTTTTTCTAGGCCAGAACTACCCAGCCAGATTAATTGCAGATAGTTCTCATAGGCAAGGGATGTCCCTAGGAAAATCAAAGTTACTTTTTTTACAAGTTTTAATGTCTAGAGTAAATATTGTCAATTATGGTTAGGGATCTAAAACCCTATGGAACTTATTGAGACCCAGAAATTTTTTATAGTCATGATTAGGGCAAGTATGCAAAGAGGGGATACTTGCCAAGTGCCACTAGCGGATCCAGAATTTAATTTTGGGGAGGCTTCAGTTCAAAAGCTTTATATATATATAAAACGATAATTACTCTGGAAGAAAAAGAAAGAAAATAACTACCTATATGAAATGGCGTTTTAGTGGTTCTTGAAGTCCAGTAATTACAGGAACAAAAATACTTTTAGAGATAATTTCTTAATATTTTTTTCAAAATTCATCGTTATATTTTACCATTTTGGAGGGCTTCAGCCTGAAAGCTCCCCTGTCCAAATGTATGTTATGCTTTTTGGTTGTTTCGATCTTAATTCAGTCAATAAAATTAGTAAATGCAATAAGATTATAATAATTATTTATTTACATATTACTTTAAATTTTGTCATAAAATGATGACTTTTATTGGTGGGAGGCAGGAAGTGAAAGGAGCGGCAAAATTATTAAGCTTGCCCCTCCTGGCAAAAATCTCAGTTCCAACCTTGATCATGGTTTGAACGTATATACTTAAATGAATTGTTTATACACTTTACTTTAAATAAACAATTATTTTAGTTATAATGGTGGAGATATTGTTGATAGTAGAACAAAAGGAGTTGCTTGGAGGTCTTGTCAAAGTAAAAGTATTTGACAAAATGAACTATGAAATTTGTTTTTTATGTAATAAAAGAATACCATGTTATCTTCTTATTTTCTTGTTGATGTGTTTTCTTTCTCTTTCTTATCATTATTATATCGTCTTTACTAAGCTCTAATAAACACTGAAGCGACATGAAAATGTAGTTGTTTTTTTTATACTTTTACCTTTGACAAACTTCTATTAATTATTTTAGTTTTTGAATATCAAATCACTTTATTAGTTAATAAATTAAAATTCATAATTCGAAATTAAGAAATAAAAATCAAATGCCATTGACTATTGAAATAAATCTTTTCTAATATTCCTCCAAATTAAAAAAAAAAAAAGCCCATAGTTATGCGTAGGTTTAAAAATAAATTAACATATTTCGGTTTTAATTATGAAAATATTGGTCTTGTGTATCAATAAATTTTCTCATGATAAACAACTCTAATTTGGTTCATTTTTATAGAACAGCCAAAATTAAATAAGTGAACTCTGAAGTGCATTCCTTAAATAAGTTTCTAAAAACTAAATAAGTTCCTTGTGCCATTTCCTTGGTATGGCAAGTATTGTGGTGGAGCTATATTGAGCATTATGAATACAGAGTTCAAAGAATATCATTAATTTTGGAGGGATTAAGAAAAGAATACTCTATAATCTTGTTCCTATATAACTAAATATTAATCTATTAAAATTAGTAACCATTACTATCTTTGTTTTAATACCAATAGACTGAAAAAAAAAAAAAAAAGTGTTCCGACTACAATTCACTGAAAGTTAAGTATTTTGTTATTCATTCAGCTTAATGGAATAAAAATTATGTAGCAGAGAAGAGTAAATTTTGGAAAATGTATTTTTCCATTATTATGATAATTAACAATCAATCAATTAAAACATATTGTGTAAATAATCACATCATACAATTATCATAAAAACATTTATATGATTTGTTACTTACCAGGCAAATGATAAGAAAAATTGAGGCAATAACAAAACTTTTATACATTTTAATGCAGAGACGTAGTAACAATTAAGTTTAACTGATAATTATTTATATTAGATTATACTTATTTAACAGTAAGGCAAAAAATCTTTTCAAGAGCAAAGGTCATGAAAGGTCATCACTGTTCATTTCTCTCAATGATAAACTAATTATAATAAAGAAGAATCAACATGAAATTTGAAAATAGCAGCTGTAACCTTTATAAAATTTCTCTATCATGATTCATTTTTCAATTTCTCACTCATAATCCATTATATATATATATTAGTTATATGTGTATACAAATGAAAAAGCATATAAACAAAATATAAAATGAATAATGCATATCAATTAAATGATTTAAATTTATGTTCTATTTTTCTTTTTCTTTTTTTTTAATATAGTTAGAGTAATCACAGCATTTATGGCCATTAAAGCTAAATAAAACCTTTCTGGCTGGTTTGGAGTTTTCAATCCTCTTCCAGGATGAAGGACAATACTCTCTGTTGACAACTATTCAAAGGAAATCTCCAAAAGTAGCTTTAAGAATAGTTAGCAGAATTGTTTCTAAAGTGCTCTTGGGATCTGTTGGTCACACATGCTTATTTTAATGGTTCTTACTAATAGTTTTGACAAGGATTAGTTCTACATTTATGTTTATAATTCTTTAAATTCTAATTACATCGCTAGGTCAGAAATTAAGCCCAAACTATTTGTGGACTCATGTCGAGCTATGTGAAATTATCATATTTTTACTGAATCTAAAGGTAATAGAGTCTTCAACCAGGTATCCTTCACTGGGCCCACCACCCATCTTCAATACTAGACATCTCCATCACTATTTTTTCAGTTTCACTAGAATCTTACTAATTAAACGCTCATGTTTGACTCTAGAAACAAAATGCACCATAACAGGTTGAATATTATACTGGGGATTAGCAAGATAAAACACGAAGTTCAATCATTATAATGCTCTCCACCTTTTGCCAACCTACCTACTGTAGCACAGGTGGTTGAACCCGATATATGAAAAGATCTTGTAAAAATCAAGAACTTGTGCAGAGCCAGCACAAAACAATGTGTTGTCGTAAGCGATTGTTGACAAATATGACCAATTTTCCAGCAGCACCCATGTTCAATGTTGATAATATATTTGTAGTTATTAAAATATTAATTAGATGATTTGAAAATGAAGGTGTGTAAGGGAATCATTATTGGTGATAATGAACTATTATGTAAGTATTTCAAGAATTTATGATTTCATATCTTTTTTTTTTTAAGCTTAAATGTATTACAAAATTATATTACTACTCTTATTTTCAACCTACGAAAATATTTCTTCCATCTTCCGTGTAAGTTAATTATCAAAATCTTTCATAATTCATATTTATCCATTTTTCATTACTTCTGTCAATGAGAGATCTATAATTACGTCTAATAATAAAAATTAAGGATCTTTAGTGGGGAAAAAAATTGCCATTTAAGCCTTGTCAGACTGGTTCACTAAGGATAAAGACTCGTTTAATTTTATATGAATTCAGTCAAAATAGTTAGTTTGTTTTTGAGGAATTGGAAAAAAAATGTGTGAAAACTGATGATATAAAGTGGCACTTCCGAGAAAAAAAGATGCTGTAACATCCCAAATATGCCTACATTAAATACTCAGTGTAGCACGCCTTTTCTTTTTTGAGCTATCACACACAAATATGTACAGTCACGCAAACAATTTTATCAACCACAATACTTCCCCTAACTGTATATTTCATATATAGGTAATTTAAATTATAAATTAATCAATTAAATTGTTGTTTTTATAGTTTAATAAAGATTGTTTATGTTTTTCGAGGTATGTTCATCATTGATTAAGGATGACTTGCCCATCACTAAAACAACAGAATTTTGGGATATCCATCACTAGGGCAAAATTGATTTTGGTTAACTGGAGATTAGATCTGAAAAACTGAATATTTTTTCAATTTTAAAGTATGGAGTAAGAAAAGGAGATCCTAAAGATATTATTTAATCAACGAGAAGTTCATAACAAAAACATAAGGCTAAAATTTCTTTATCTATGTCCATCACTGGTGAGCTTATTCTATTTTTTTTTTTCATTAATTATTTAGAAATTCCTTCGCATTCATTCAAAGTTCATTTTCCTTTCTAACCAACATTCATAGGTATTACTATAAACTCCAATTTCATTAATATAGCCAACATTTTATAGTTTATAGTCAATAATATTAGCAATAATAGATTATCAGCAATAATAAGAACACAGGATTTCGGAAGGTCAGGCAATACATTAAATCCTTAATTAGGCAATAAGACAAAAGTAAATAAATTAAAAACTCTTAATTTATTTAATCTAAGAAACAATATTCTAGCATTAGCTTAAAAACAACTTCAAAATTAACAAAATTTTATTTTAACCAATTATATAACACAAAATCAAAAAGTTCATAAATCAACCAACAGAAAGATTCAAAATAAAGAAAGAGAAAAAAAATTAATAATATAAGTTATTGTCATCAATGTGTAAAATTCTTAACACGCTTCTTATAACTATTTTAGAACTAATTTCTTTTAGGGTTGTAGAACAATCCATTAACAAAATACAATCATAAATATACAACTCTAAATTCACAGCAATTTATAATAATTTTAATTTACTACTTGTAAGACTACTAGTATGAGTAAGACTAGAAGCACATCATTGATGTTTACATCTATATTGCTCATTTATTTTTTATGAATGATCTTTGATATATTTACTTCATAGAGTGAATAGACACATAAATTGACCCACATAGCATACATGTATTAACATACATAAAGTACATAATTGATGTATTTCTAACATTTAGATTTTATAACTGCAAATGTATTTAAATTAATAGTAATACTGACTCGAATTATATTCAACAAATATAAAAGAGATATGTTTAGAAATGCCATTTGAAATTGTTATGTAAGAAATAAATAAATAAATAAACAAGAACGACAAAAACAAGATAGGGAAATGTTACTAGCATAAGACAATTTAATAATCAAAGTGATTCATAAAATAAATACAAATAATAACAATAATAAAAATGCTTGGGGAAAAAATAAATTAATAAATTGAGATCCCAAATGATTATCAGAGTAATGAAAAAAATCTTGAGAAAAAAAATTAGGGAATGCACATCAAATTAATATGACTATCACGTTAATATACATATTTTTATAACAATAACATGAATTAATTTCACTTTCAGTCATTTTCATTTAACATTATAACAAACTGAGATAGATTTTGCCATAACATGTTCATTAATTTAACATTATAATATAAACAATTTAATTATTTTTATAGAGTTTAAATGCAAATATATACTTTGATTTTTTGGATGGGAGATGCATAATTTCATACATAAATATATTAATGTGTGTTTATATTTTTAAATACAAGGATGCACTATAAATTATTTATATATATTTCCCCACAAAAACATTTTAAAATACCAAATAATGAATCAGAAAACAAAAAATCTAAGTCACTGAATTCATACATAGCTCTAATTATAGAGTTTTATTACTCGTAGCCCTGAAATAAATAAAATGCAAAGTAATTTCATCACATTAAAAACAAAACACTGATATGGTCTTATTAGACATAAAATCGAACATATTTAAATTTGATACATAATATTTAACCACAAACACAAGTCCATCTTAAGGCCGTGATCAGAGGTTAATATTAATTACACAATGACAACCAACTGTACACGTACAAAATACTTTGATAGAAAAAGTTTTATATTAGAATATAATCAAATGAATTGATTAAACAATAAAACTGTTTTAAAATAAAAATGTGTAATAAATTATGTTACATTTTTAAAACATACATCCTCTGGTTTACGTAGACCATCAATAAATAACAAACTAAAACCCACATTTTCAATTTTTTTTTTCTTTAGAGGAATGTCAGGAGTAATATTAAGTGCCCAAAACACTTCTTCATTCCCAATAAATAATTTAAAGTGATCAAATATTAATCTTCCATCTGCTATACACTGAAGGACGGGCACTGTCTATTTATTTAGAAAGGAGAGAAGTTTTTCAGCAACGCCTAAGTAGTATACAGTCTGGGCGATACCAAACAGAGGAGCAATCACTATCGCCCTGCATGCTCCTCCCTTGAAAAATGCCTTTATACCTTCATTCCTATAAGTTTTCCTGTAATAATAAATTTAAAATTCAATAATAGTCAAAGGACAATAATATAGTAAACCTAAGTTAAATCAATTTAGATATAAAGCATGAGAAAATAGTAATCTGGTTTGATTAAAGAAGAAAAATATATTTTATTAATATAGGAAATATACAAAAAAAAAAAAAAAAAAATATATATATATATATATATATATATATATATATATATATATATATAACAGTAAAATGTTAAAAGAAAAAATATGTTGTGTAAATGATAAATATTTATTTATGACATTTTTAAGCAATAAAAATATCATTGGATGTTCAGGAAAAAAATTAATAATTTTGTACTTGTTTTATTTCTGCAGTAAATCATATTTCAGTCTCTTTTCTCTTAACTATAATTATATAATTTCTTTAATTATAACAACATAGGTAATGATTTAAAAGTTAAGAGCATTAATTCTGAAATAAAGAACCTTTAGTTATCACACTTTAGATATTATTAAATTTATTTGACACAAATAAATTTTACAATAACTTCCGCTTTCTGAAAATGATAGATGTCTTTGATATGAAGATTGCAAATTTCTATGTCTTACTAAAAACTGCAGTTATTTTTTAGATTTAAAATGGCACCAAATAAATTCTTTTAAGGATTAAAATCATTTCTGGTCTCCAAAACCATCAAATGTTTTAAAAACCAATCATTTTTTTTATTACAATTATATTTTATTTTATTGCATTGATAATTTTTTTTTATTGTGTCTTTTTGTTCAATACATAGAGGAGATATTCTTCCACATATAGAATTTTTTTTCAAAACTAAAGGTTCTAACAAAAAATTTGATAAATTGGATTGACCAGAAAATAATGCAGGATTTTGAGTTTTCTTTAATAACCCTCTATATAACAAACTGTTTACGTTTACTGGATTACTCATTTGCATATATTTGAACACTTATTAATCCTCTTCCAAACAATAATGTTTGTTTACCTCTGTAGCATTTCGCTGCTCAGAAATAATTCAGTCTTTATTACGATATCAACGTGTGATTTTCGTTTAATGAGTTTAAACCAGCGTTATGAAGTTTGTTCTATACTTCTTTGTCAAAACAAAAACGACCCCCTTTTTTTGTTCGGAATTGTTAATTGTGATGAAAAGTGGATACTTTACAATAACAGTAGATGTTCTGGACAGTGGCTCAACAAAGGAGAAGCAGCAGAACATTTTGGCCAGCTTCATTTGGTTTGATATACTACAGCTTCTTAAATCCTGCAGAAACCATCAATTCAGAATCGAATTGTAATCAAATTAATGCAATGCATCAGAAATTGGCCATAATGAAGCCATCTTTGGTCAATCCGAGGGTTCCATTCTGTTGCATGATAATGCCCAGCCACATGTCTCACGCGTGATGTCACAAACTGTTGGAGCTTGGATATGAAACTCTGCAACATCCACCCAACTCCCCGAACTTCTCGTCTACAGTATATCATTCTTTTAGACACTTGGACCACTACTTACCTGATAAAAAATTCAATGGACAAAGGGAATTAGAAAATGTAGTTTTGGAGTTTATCAATTCTAAAGATGGGAAATTCTATTTCGAGGGCATAAAAATGAATTGACAGTAGTGGAGACTACTTTGATTAAATAAAACAGTTGTAAATCTTTCTTTTTTTCTTTGTAAACCAAAATCCTGCATTATTTTATGGAATACCCAATATAAAGATTCTTATAATAATACTATATATATATATATATATAGTTTAATAGACAAGAGGATCTACTGTTTTGTTTATTAAAACAAGATATCTTTTTATAATAATGATATTTCACTCACTCAAAAGTATCCAAGATGCCATTGTATCGGACTTGCCCGGGCACATCTACTTTTGTGATAGCTTGCAAGCGAGTTTTAACAACGTCGAAAGGATTCACACTGAGGGCAGCAATACTTCCAGAAGCGCAGCCACAAAGGAATGACCACCAGAAGACTGCTTCATCTAAAAATAAAAAATATTTAGTTAATAAAAATAATGAAAAACAAAATTATAAAAATTACAGATTTTTCTAAACCAGCATAAGTTATAAATAATATAAAAAAAGGAGTTTATTTCTTTTAAAATACAATTAAAATTGATTGCTCTTTATTTCGCCCAAAGAAGACTGCTGTGGGTGCTGAAATGTAGCAGAAATAATATATATGAAGATACAACTGGCATCTCTAAAAATGTCATAATCGTGTTGTAGAAGTTCTAGAGGGAAAACACAACCCTGCCTCCACCGACGACCTTCAATGTAGTCTAAATTATTTCGAAGGAAATTGACACAAAAATAACTAGCTGGTATATGTCAACAGAAAATTAAATGTTAGTAACTAATGGCACCATTAAATGTAAAGTTCCATTCCATTCAGTAATATGAAACTAATTGATAATTTCTTTTTTCCATCAAGCTGAAAGTGACCATAAGATTTTGACTGATTAAGATTAATTTGAATCTTGCATCACTATTTCCAGAGCTATATTCTATGTTAAAATTACTTCCTTCTGTCTTAAGTTGTAGTTTCAACTACATTTTTTTTCAACATTTCATTTCCCATAAAACATTCTACATAATAATTGATCTCCATCAACAACGAATGCCAGGTAATTAATGAATCAAATTTTCTGCTGTCAGAAACTATCCTTGTTCTTGTTAATTACTTACCAGTACAGTACAGGATAAATTATAAGATATAATAAACAGTTTTGCTGTACTTACTGCTATGCTTTTTCCTAGGTCCCAGCTGATTTAGACGAGCAAAAAGAGGGAAATATATGGCCGAGAATGATACATCTCTCAACATTGTAGCACCAATGCCTTTATATAGCCCAAAGATACCTTTCTCCTTCAATAATCCTAAGGCGAGCCTAGTAGCTGATGCTTTTTCCACCATTCTTCCTTCTGTAAAAACAATGACAAGTGTGTTAATAAGTTCCATAGTAGTGGTGGGATGTTTAGTAACCATCTATTTAATTTAAACAGTTTTTTTTCATTAAACAGATACAGTGAACTGTTTCACTTGAGGTTAAACAGATACAAGTTAATAAAATGGGCAAGTTCAGCGCTGAACTTATTGATGGCATTGAATAGATCTCTAAACTGAGCAAAATGAAGCCAGCGATGACCTCAGCACTGAGTTTAGGAACTTACCAAAGACTTTTCACAGTACAGGTTATAAGTATACAGTTGAGACAGTAATACCGATGGAAAAAGAGGGTAACACTGAATCTGTTTAATTTAAACAGATTTACAAAACAGATACAGATATCTAGCTAAAATTTTATATGCATAATTTTCCTGAAAAATAGTGCCTAATACTATAATTTTACTGAGCTCTAATGTGTCTAATAGATTAATGCCTTAAAGTAAATATTGTTAAGATATTTCTAATAGGCAAAAATAATAATACAGATCGAAATATTTTTATGCTTCAATTAGGGATCGACCTCAATATATTTTAATTATGATGATGATTTCTAATTTGATAAGATCATGTAGGACAATAATTGATTTTGGCTGTTTCTCAATTTTCATAAATAAACTATGTCACCACATTGTAAAATGAGAGCTTTTAATGTATTTAAAATTATCTTCTTCAATATGCGCTACAGTCCTTGTAGGACCTGAGACTCAACAGTTGAGAAACATGTCTTCTCCCAATTCAACGGCATTCATTTCCGCTTTTATAATGAGTCCTAACTCTTCAGCTGCATGCTTCAAGTCTTCTATAGCGCCGGCTAGTATAGCTTTAGTTCTTCCTGATATAACATCATCAGCATATATTATGTGTTGCATGAGCCTATTATAGATGGTACCACCAGGGTTCGTCTTGATTTTCCAAATTGCAACCTCTAAAGCGATATTGAACAGTACAATGGGTCCTATCTTAAGCCACTGTTAACCTCAAAACTATCTGACATACCCACTCTACTTTTGATCATACAGCTTGTCATTTCTATAATCATTTTGGTCAATCTTATTAGTTTACTAGGAATCACCAGTGACTGTAAGGCTTTCAATAGCTTACACCTGTTCACACTGTCATATGCCTGCCGGAATTCAATGAATAGGTGATGCAGGTCTATATTATATTCATACGCTTTCTCCAGCATTTGTCTGATAGAGAAAAGGTGGTCAGTAGTCGATCGTCCTGAGTGAAAACCATTCCGATACTCTCCTAGTAGTGTTTCACTCCGCTTCACTAGCCTTCAACATATTGCCACTGAAAGGATTTTATGGAGAGTGGGTAGGAGCGCTATTCCCCTGTAGTTCTCACATTTGAGTTTATCTCCCTTTTTATGTATAGGGACCATAATAGCCTCTCCCCATTCATCTGGCATTTTTTCTTCTGACCATATGTCCCATATCAACTTGTGGATCTCGTTCCAGGCGTCTTCTCCAGCGAATTTTATCAATTCCAATGGTATTACATCAGATCCTGAAAACTTTTTGTATAGGGACAGAATTATTTCAGCAATTTCCTCTCTATCTGGTGGTACATCCTCATCAATATTCTCATTACCTGATTCATACATCTGGATGGTTTGCATGTTATTTATTTCTACATTTAGCATTTCTTTAAAGTATTTAAAATTATATACATTGGAAATGTGATAACATTTTAAACTTAATATTAATAATATAGATTTTAAAAATGCTGATAATGTAATGTTTTATAGTACAAATCAACATGAAAATTGACAGTGTGCGTTCAAAATTGTCCAGTATCAGTTTAAAGGGTAAATTTTTGTTTCTGAAATTTCAAAAAAATATTATAGCTATATATAACACCCTTCTAAAAAATACTGAATGCTATATTCTGAGTGGTGGAGAGAGAGAGAATATTAACAAGCAATTTAACAGTTTCATAATGAAAAAAAAAACTGTTCATGGATTTTGTGCTCAGTGTTAACATTCATGTACAAAGGACAAGCAACAAGTTTTTAATCAAAACAATCGGAAAACATCTCAAACTATATTACAAAGAGGTTGTTAAATTACATTAGTGAGGTTGTTAAATAGCTTCTCTCACATAAAATCCAAGTATAATCATAAAAATCGTAAACACATCAATAGCAACCAGCAACCTGTATCAGTTTTACTGATAAGTTTCAAAATAGGTATTTATTATGTTACTAATTAATTCAGAGTTAAAGGGGAATACATAATGATTTTTTTTTTTAAGAAATCTATTCAAAAGTAAGCATTCAAAATAACAAGCTACGTTTTGTTACCTGCTATAGCTAACGCCGCAACTCTTCCAGCATCTTGCATTTGAATCTTAAGAAGTTCCATAGGTGTAGTAATAATAATCTGGCACAGCCCTGCAGAAGCTCCAGCCAACATCTCTCGGGCCAGAGGTAACTGAACTCTACGGTTAATGTTTTCAATTAATAACCAAAAATTGAGCTTTAATGATTGCTGAAAAGTTACAAAAATTTAAACAAAAAAAAAAATCCTCACTCACTGTCAGGTAATTAAGAAAAATAAACATTTATTGTGCTAAGGTGGGAAGGGATTGAAGTTTAGTGAATATTCAGTAGGCATTATTGCCTTACTACTTAAAAGAAAAAAAGTGATAGGTTTGTTCTGAGATATGTCATGTATAAAAAACAAACTTTATTCTGGGACTAGGTTCCTCATAAATAATAAATATTTATGAATAAACACTGGTCCAAAACTAAATTAATGAAATTCAATAAGTATATAAATTCTCAACAATAAAAAATATAGATTGATAAAACTGATAGAGAGAGACTTCTAAGAGGTAAAAAAAAAATTTAAGCTAATAGTTAAATCAAATTTATATGTATATGTATGTATTTTATCGAAAGTTAATATATCCACTTCTCATAAATAACAATTTGTTTGAAAAATTAAAATTTGACAAATTTAAATAAAAAATCCCATGATAATTGGTTTAATAATAATTTTCTAGAAGTGGATATACTGACTTCTGATAGAATGCCCTTTAATTTCTTTTCATTATATAACACAAGAAACAAGTGTTTTTAAGTTTTCATTTTTTTCTATATTAGTAAAATGCATAATATAGTTTGTAAGTGTGCATATTATTTTTTTTTTAAAGATAAATATCAACAGCACACCTGCGAAACCTCGTAAGTTACATTTTATATTTAAAAAATTATGAAAAATGTTTTTTTTACAAAACAAAAAGTTCCAAATCAAATGGAATAAATCATTTCCTGTTATTAGCATTATCACTTGTCTATGATGAGTTTTAAACGGCAAGTTTACAAGTCTGTGCAGGAGCACTTACGAGATTTTACAACCATAATGTCTATTTACTATTGCTACAGATAGGAACATTAATAAATATATTAAAATAATAATAATTTAAGATGAATCTTAATAAATAAAAGTATAATCTCAATAATATACCAATTTTTTTATTTTATTTAATCTAAAAAACAAAAGTATAAGGCATGTTCATATGATTTTTGGAATCAAATAACATTAAATTGATAAGAGATTAGGACATGAAAGTGATTCAATACAATAATAAAAATATTAACATACCCAGCTCCAACTGAGAGTTGATGTCTGAAAAAATCATTGGCAGCCAATTTTATTGCTTTTTCTGGAGTGATCAGAAGAATATTCACTGCAGAACCTGAACACAATCATTTCATATTTTTCTCATATTGATTTGTAGCCCATATCGAGGAAAAATATTATAAAACCAATCTTTTCTTTTTAGAATAATAAAGAATGAAGTCTATTTAAATAAAATTGAACTTCAGAATAATTTTAGAAATGGATATATACTTGACTGTTGAATGTGTAAGGATGAAAAATAGTCAGAATTTGCAATAGGATGTGCGTGTACTGCAGTTTGACCTTATCTGACTCCCAATTTCATAAGCAAAACAAAACTCTTTTACACAAGCTTGTAAAATCTAATGATTTCCCTGACCACCTCATCAAACTTTATTTAACATTTCCTCAAAAAAATTATTCACAATCCCATCCTACATCTGTGCAATACATTCCTAATCTTTCTAATAAAAGTAAAAAATCATTTAATTCCAACAGCTTTACTATTATAAGCCTAATTTTCAAAAATAACCACAAACTTAAAACCCTATACAGCAACCTAAAAGACCCCTTATCACTCCTACAACAATCTAATTTAGTTTACCACATCACATGGTCTACTTCTAATTGTAACTCCAGTTATATTGATGAGACCAAAAATTATCTTAAAAACATAGAACTCAACATAAATATTACCCGTAACCCACTTGCTAAGAAATTATCAGAACATGGTAAATCCCTTAACCACTCTCCTGACTTTAATAATGCCTTACTACAAAAAACGCCTCCTCACCAAATCGATATTTATCCACCTGGAAAAAAATAACCCAGTTAACAATAAAATATTAAAGAGACAATTTCATCAACTTACTCCAATATCTTCTGGCTTCGAAAAAATTATAATATTTAGTTTTAAGCCTCTTATAAGTTTTATTTTTACTTCTATAGATTAATTCATAAAATCATCCATTGTATATATGTATATATATATATATATATATATATATATATATATATATATATATATATATATATATATTAGCCAAATATCTTTGATTATAATCTATTTGTAATTTATTAGCTATTATGCAGTATCATAGTAGTAATGTATCATATCTTTTTTTTTTTTTTTTGTCTCACTCATTCATACCATACAACTGATTTCATTTATTTAAAATACAAACAAATTTTCTTAGCATATTGTAATGTTTTTATTATTGATATGTTTATATCACCGTTATCTCATTTGTTACATCCCTTTCTTCTCTTGTTTACACACTTTTATATTTAGCATTTTTCTGATGTACTTCTGTATATTTTAATTTTTTATCCTGATGATGACCCACAAGTATAGGTCGAAATGTCGGCAAATTCAATAAACATAATTTTTTGACTGCACATCCGGACCATTTTTCATCCTATCATAATATTTTTATTGATTATCTCCTAAGAGGATATAGAGTACTTCTCCTATATGTAATAAGTCAATTAGCAAACTTTCAAAACGTATTATATCCTATCACTATATTAAGTTAAAGGCTTTGGAGAAGTAGTTCATTAATTATATGTATGGTATTGACAATAAGTATAGTAATATTTTCATTTTAAAAATGTATAAGTAAAGTATAAATAAAAAATTATTCATTTGGTCCATTAAATAGACAATCTATTAATCAATGCCCTTTTACTATATTTGTGGATAACTAATTAAAAATGTAGCTAGAAATTGATATTACTTATAGTGAAAGCTATAAAGAATGATATATAATATAATTAGCTATGCATTTAGGCTGAGAATATTATTTCTCTTTCTGCCCATATTATTATATTATTCTCATCATTTCATGGTTCTACCTCATTATCAGGATATAAATACAATATGTCTATTATTATTAAAATTGTATGTATAACTTTTTTTTCCATTACTACTGATTTTTGAATAATTATTTTGTAAAAATAATAATATGCAATAATTAGTTAATATAATAAAAGTAATCATGATTTTAGCAATAACAGATTAATTCAAATATTTACCTCTATACATTCCGAAATATCCTTCAGCTTTATATGTTTTCTTAAAACAGTCAAACCTGAAAAAAAAAAAACACATTTAAAGCTTAATGAATAATGAAAAATTACTTTATTATTATACCATGCTGAAAAAAATTACCAGCTTAAGTATGTATATCTGTGCGAAGATGGAGTTAGAAGAGAATTGTAGTGCAGGTTTTTAGGGTGATTAATCAATTCTTTTATACACTCAAATATTCTATACAATAACTATCTCATACCAACTAACAATAAATTTATAATTAATTATAACCAACATGAAGTTACCACTACATCCAACAATATAATCAAATATTCTCTCGTAAGTAATACATACATACTAATAATAATAGGTTTAGCAAACTTCAATGCCGATAACAGCGTCTATCGCTACAGGCATATCTCTGTCCACCAACCCCTGCCATAATCTAAATTTGTGAGATCAGTCTGAACAAAATCTTCCCACCCACATACATAACATACAACTAATATAAATAGCCCAATTTTATTTAATTAATTTTGTTTTCACAAGTATTTCATTATTAATTTGACCACAGGTCTATTAATCAGTGAGAACCATTTTCTCCAAATCTAGTATTTTATGCATGGAAAAACTATAGGGATAGGATGAAAAAGCAGAATCTGTCTTATACCAATTTCTAATAGCCAGAAAAGCGATTCAGCTACTGAATTAAGATTTAATCAATTACCAAATGTTAATTGTTTTGGGTGATATTTTTTAAAAATATAAATCAGTTAGATTTTATTGAGAAATAGTTATTAAAGATGATAGCTACTAATTTTTTTTAAACCTGTGAATATTTTTATATTTAGTCATATCACTTTCAAAAATAGTAGCTCAAATCAAAACAAATGGGAAGTATATATATTTTTGATACTTACATAGATTTGTACATCTTCTTCTCGCCATCAGGTTGATTTTGTAGACGGGTCTTAACAAGATCCAGGGGGAAGACGACTGATACACCAATAATACCAGCAATACCACCATTTATAATTTTTGGAAGAAGCCTAATAATAACAACAAGAAAAATCAAATACTGCTTTACAGATGTTTATACTTATGAACTAAATAGCCAAAGCTTTAGCTATTGCTTTTGCTAGTTACGCTTTCCATGGCTATAAATAGAGTTAAGTCATTTCAGATTGAGCTTTTGTACATTAAGATATTAATTAGAATCTTGACCCAGAAGGTGATAATAGTAATGGGGATTCTCTTTTTTAATTATCAGCTAAAAATATAAATCCTATTATATAAGGCAATGTTATTATATTTTTAATAAATTTTCTGAAACAACTTGACAAATAATTAAACATGAACTGCTTTAAATAAAACTGTTCAAGATCAAGAAAAATTATTATTTAAATTAAATAAATATTAGGGAATTTCTCTTTAAATGACTTAAAGTCCTATTTTTCAGTACCTATCCAACTGAAAAAATTTGGAAGAAAAATAAAGTTTTAAAAGGGAAATAAAAATTTGCAGTAGAATTTTGATTATCTGGACTAAAAAACCTAAGAATTTTTATTGCAAAAACAGGGTGTGAAAATAAAAAAATTAATAATTTTGAGCTAAACTTTTAATTTATATAAAAAAACTAGTTTATTTTACAGTACTATAGTTAGTTTGTTTAAAAATAGCCTGCAAAATAAACTGAAATGTTTTCAAATCCTGATTACATATTTAAAGTAAGTAAATTTTCAAATGTAAAAAAAAAAAATTAAAAACATATATTTATCTCTTCATAAAACAGTACTAGGAGATTGGGAGGAACTCCAAAAAAAAATCCAAATGATAAGTTTTGAGAAGTATAAGTATTCTAGAGGGCAGTTTCAACTTTTGCATTGCTATCTTATTATTTGATATTATATTATATATTTGTATGATATTATGCAGGCAATTGGTCAGGATTTTTTACTCCTTTTGAAACAATGGGAAATAATATGTGATGAAAAAGAAAACTTTCTCAATTCTAACCAGCCTTAAAAGAATAATACTTAATTGTATTTTTTTTTCAGAATGAATGGTTTTAATTATAAGTTATTTATTTGTAAGAACATCTAAAAAAATTAGAGAAAAAAAATTCATGGTACGACTAATGAAAATTTGCACTGTATTTATAGTGTGACAATTACCAAAATTCATGTGATATTGCTGAGTTATCAGAGAATATCCAAGGACAAAGGTCTCATAAAATGTATTTTGTTTTAATTTTATTTCCTTTATCTAACAAAACAAATCTGCTCCTGTCCTGAAAATGATGCTGAATCTAAGGAAGTATGATCAATTAAAAACCAAAAAGAGAAATAAAAAAACAAAACAGATAAAGTAGTTTTAAGCTGGAAATTAAAGAAAGGGGGAAAACAAGTTAAAGAAGAATAGAAGATAATTAAAGAAGTTAAATTTTAAATTGAGATGGAATAAACCAAGAACAAAATTTAAAGATCTGAAAAGTATATCTATATGACTGCACTGTTTCCTTAGAATATTGTTAATTTCTTTCACAACACAACAAGAGTGTGATCCAGGAAATTAATTTGAAATGACAAATATTCTAAATCAATAAAAGAAATACAAAGAGAAAGAGAATAGAATAGTAAAATGATTGCAATGGCTTATGAAGCAAAATGTGCAGCATGAAGTAATGAACATTCAAGAGAGATTTAGATAAAAAATGTAGTACCTATTAATTGGCACCAAAAATTAATTAAAACTTGACAACTACAAAGCAGGTAATGAATAAGACCTTGCAACTCAATGATAACAATTATATGATGCCTTCAGTGCCGTTTAATAAAACAATAAATTGGCAATTTCTTACAGGCGGGTTGTTTACAAATTGAACTACATGATGAGCTCAACTGAATGCATTATACATGATGATACTAATTTATCATTAAATAAATTATGTACTAAGAGAAAAATACAGTTTATTTGTTTTAATTAGCCCAAAAGAATTATTAAGACTAGAGCTAATGAGAACAACAATTTTATTAGATATTTTCTGTTTATTACGATCATTATTAAATCTACTAATGTAAATAATTGCTAACTACAATAAAATAAAATTTATGGATGCATTTCAATAAATTTGCTATTTTAACCTAAAATGTAATGTAAAATAAAATAAATCTATACTATAGTGTTCTTAGGAACATAAGTAAATTTAAGCCCACATAATGATTATTTACCATATTTAAACCCATAATAATTTTATTCCAAATAGCTATTTTTATATGAAAAGTTGATAAGAACTATAAATGAGCACAATATTTTAATAAAAAATATTAACATATTGACTGTCATGGTACTTTACTTTTTAGTATTTCGGCCTAAGATGCTTACTCAATTTCATCATATACTATAAAAAACTAATTTTGATCATCAAATAGCACTAAAATTCCATTACAGCAGCAAAAACATGGCACCCAAAGAAATTATTAGATAACTCAAAGTTTGGCATCCTAGAATTAAAAATCTAACTTTCAGTTATCCCATACATTGGCAGTCAATGTGATAAAAAATAAAGTAGTTCCTCTCAATCCGACCTAAATCAGATTAATTAAGAAAAAATAAGCATAACATAAAATCTAATTATTAATTTATAAGATTAAAACAGCTTGATGATGGAAGAGCCTTGATAAATACCTGACCATCAACATTATATAATTTTGTATCAAATAATTAAGTACTTTTAACTCTTGACCTATACGTGTTTATTATACCATCAATCTCTAATGTTTTAGAATATGACAGCACCATCTTGGATTTGATTGATTATAGAGGGTATGTTATAAGAGGTTCGAAAAATGGATTTGGGAGAGATGTATTTCAAGAAACTAAAATCAATTAGGAATGACCATTTTAAGCAATTTTAATAAAAATAATTAGCGATTATCTTCTACAAATTGAAAACAACCAATCCATCTTATGTCAGATTATGACTTATAAAATAATAATTTATTCTTCATAAACAAATCTGACGTATGATTCGGAAAAATCAGATGTAAGAAACGGAAACTGAATACCCATTCCCTGCAAGAAGAATTAATTTTCTTTTAAATATAAATAGAATTAACCTTGTTTGGCTCAAATTAAGAAAACAAATACTGACAGTTACTTCCTCTGATATTTTGTTTGAAATTCATTTTTCTTATTAAATAGTAAAGTACAATTGTATTATTCATAGATATTATTAATAACTTAATCTCATGATATTGAATAATAATAACAGAACAATAAAAAAATATAGCTTCTGATCAGGTACATAAATAAGACTGAAAATGAGGATGAGAAAATGTTATTCAACGCTTATTCAAAAAAATATTAATCAAGAGTTGATTCTTGCTAATTATTAATGTTAAATATTTTTTTCTTTTAATTACTCATGCAATTTAAATCTAAAAACCTGACACTGAAGTTAAATAAAAAATATAACCATACCAAAGAAAATATGAAATAAAAATACTGAATTAATATCTATACTAACTTAATTTATTCAAAACATAATGAATTTAGATTTTTTGAAGTAACAATTCAGTAAAGGTCAAATATTGACAGTTTGATAGTCTACATTATTAATATGTTTTCAAGACTAAAAATATTTAATTATTATAAGTTTAATTATTGGAGATATTATAAAAAACCTACAGGTTTTTTTTTTTTACAGAAGATATTATTAAACCAAATAGAAGTTAAATATGATATATATATTTATATAAAAATGGTACTTTTTAAAACATATTTTATTTCAAGAAAATGAAATATAAATATTTTAATAAAGTTATTCATTATGTAATAAGTCATGTATCATTGACATGATCTATAAATCCTTTAAAGATTAGTCTAGAAAATTAATTTAGATAAAAACATGGATTATTGATTTAATAAAAAATGTTATTTTATCAAGATTATATCAAAGTTCTGGCAATGAATCAGTGTTATTTCAAGAACTAAATTTGATGAATATTTCTTTTTTGGAAAGAACTCAAGTTGGGTACAAACAAAGCAAAGCTATAAACTAATTATTGTCAAAACAATCAAACAATTTTCATGGACAAAAGTGGTTTCACAGCATAAAATTACTTTTAATGAATAAATTAGACCTTCTGTTACAATGTCAACACTTCTTACAAATTATAGTTTCAGCTATATATTAAAATAAAATTATGGAACTAATAATTAAATATTTTGTTTATAAAATAAAGCAACAAAGATCAGGGTAATTTGATAACTTAATTTATTTTGAAACTTTAACTCAAAAAATTGGTTTAGTTTTATTTTTTGACAGTTCTTTTTCCGACTCAATAAACATATAATAAAGGGTTCATGTAAACAAAAAGAACAAAATTTGAAGGTATGAATATTATTGTTTAAAAATTACACTGCTATTAAAAAAATTCAACTAGTATCCCTATCAAATCAATTCTATTTGGAAAATAATAGAATAAGTACAAAAGATTAATACGGCTGAAAGAAATTTAGGAATATATTTGAACAAGATTCAGTAAGTTTAGAAATGCAGATAAGGTTGGAATATTTGCGGATATTGAATTAATGATGATTACCAATTAAAATTAATAATTACATATTCTTTACTGAAAAAAAATACAAACCAATAACCATATTTCATTGCTAAAATTAATGGATACAGCAATCTATGGTTTTTAATTATTTGTAAAAATAAAACTACAGAAGAAACCTGTTAACATGCATTAGTCTTTAATTTAAGCTTTGTTATTTGTTTTTACTCACGAAATGTTTTATATACTTACGAAAACTCTTCAATAGCTGGTCTGAAAAAAAAGAGAAAAAATGATGTTATCAATTGAAAACGTCAATAATATCATTATAAACTAAACTAATTAATAAAACAGTAACATCAGTGCAAAAGCTTAATAAAAATGACTAATTGCTGCACAATGAACAAGAAATGGGTTAAAGAAATTTAATGTTACAAACCATAATAATGATAAAGGAACTAGTATAACTGTTGTGAACCTACTTGCGAATTTTTTTATAATCCATTTTCTGAAATTTCGAAGTGCCTTAGATGAAAATCAATATTAAAAAACTAAGAAAACTATAATTTAAATCACAAACCAAAATCCACTAACTCCCCCAGTGGTCCAGCCACTGACACTGAAATCCATACTTGACGTTAATAAGTTAAGTACAGCTGAATGCATAGAGTATAAAGCAATAAGTTTGTCTCGTCCCAACTCGTTCTTCCTCGTCAGCAATGAAGTTTACGTCACTTGGGAGATTATTCACCTAGATCTAGTTTTTAAAAAGAGATTAATTAATTCCCTGTTTTTCATTCTATTTTTTTATCATCTTCTTTAATTGAAATTTTAAACTAAAATTAATTTTTGTATATACAGTTTGCATTGCAATGGATGTCTACTATCATAAAAGGCACACGGAGCTGGGGTTCCAGTGTTTTATACATTGAATATTATTAGTCATATCGTATAAAATATCTGCTATCGCGATATATTTGCATCCACACTCATTTATAACAAACGTAATAAAGATATATATATAACCACATGGCAGTGGGTTCGGAATAATACCAGGACTCGGTCTGGGAGCCCTGCCGTTAACTATTGTCCGGGTGCTTCTGATAAACATCTGGTGCGCGCATCACACGGCTTTCACTTACCACCCTCTTAGCAGAAATAAGTATTTTCAAACAAAAGAGAAGTTAAAGTTAAAATTATTGATACTATATTTATTTACAATTCATTGTGAATATTTTTATTTGTTTAAATACTCTTATGTATACAAATTTTTATATCGCTGTATTCTATACAATTAAATATTAAATAATACCAACGATAGCATTTATGAAACCCGCATATGTATATGAACATAACATTGTCGGAGTTCGTATTATATGAAGCTCATGTTAGGAGCCTGTTGTAATCTTTCCAGCGAGCTCGGGTAAGCTCGTATTCCTTTATCACAACTATTATCGGTTAATATCTCTAATTTCTCCTTTAGTTAATTATCAAATTCTTTCACATTTTATATTTAACTATGTTTTATATCAAATATTAATGTGAAATAGTTAATCATTTCTTCTTCTTTGTCTTCCTCACAATGCCATTTTTAGCATCGAGGAACCTCTATCCAGCGTCCATGTCCTCGTTCATGCGGCAGACATCTCCAAACCACCTTAACTGCCTGTTCTCCAAAGTGGTTTTCAGTTCAGGCACTTCCAGCTATTCTCTGGTAGTTTCATTTCTAATGCGATCCCTCCTAGTTTTGCCCACCGATCTACGTAGGAACCACATTTCCGCTGCTGCTATGCGACTATAATGTTTGTCCAGCTTTCTCCCCCGTAGGTGAGAATAGGAAGGTATACAGACTTATAGACGTGCATCTTAGTATTTTTATCTACTTCACGGCAGCTGAGGATACTGCTAGCGATATGGTGATATACCTGATTTGCCTTAGATATTCTATATACTGGTAAACCTATTCTAACCAGAGTGATAACGTCGAGATAAAACTCGGGAATGTTAAAATGAGTAACCCTCGGTCGTCAAGACATTTGTTGTAATCTTTCAGGTAAGTCGTCATTGCTCACTCCATTTTGTACCCTAGCTGTATCATGGTTTCAATATTTGTTAGAAGAAAAAGGGTGTATTCCTCGGCTAAGAATAACACATTAAATACTGATGTAAAAGGTATAGACTGAAACACAAGTGACTTAGCTAATTCCTTAGGTGGATATGGTTGTCATCATATTCATCATCCATTGTTTGATATTTCTGTTCCAAGGCAGAGATGCCTACTCAAAAATAATCAGAATTATTCCATTGTAGACGGATGAATGTTACATCATGCCTCTTCTGTCCACATCTATTAGATTCTACTAAGTGACACTAGCATATACAGGATTTATTTCGGGAGAGAGGGAGGCTTCAGCCAGAAATCTCTGTTTTTCATATATATGCCGATAATTATTTTGAAAAAAAAAAAAGAAAGATAATAACCACCTATATGAAATGGTGTTTAAGTGATTCTTGAAGTCCTATTAAATGTGATTACACGAACAATAATACATCAAGAGATAATCCTTTAATGTTTTTGACCATAAAACATAGTTACATTTTACCATTAGGGGAGGAAGAGCTTCAGTCCGAAAGCCTCCCTCCCCCCCCCCGTCCCGTAGATCCGCCTGTGCTAAGTGAGGAATACTCATTTCTATCTTGGCTCTCCTCTCTTCGTATTCTGGTTTCGAGAAATTTTTATTTATTCTATTACATCAATATCTTAGCATGATCTTTATCTGCAGTACGAAATAATACAAAGCCTGGAGTTGTCGCTTGAATCAGCCATGCAGCTACACAATCTTCGTTTTGTTGGCGAGGAACTCCTACCAATTCCCCTGGCAAATCAACCTTAGACACGAATCATAATTTATACTGGTTTCTTTTTATATTCTTTAATAAACTACCTTATAGCTTCGTGCCCGATCAATCTAGTCCGTATGTTTGCGTTAGTATAAATGTTATCATTTCGGTAAATTTTGACGCTGATTAAAATCTGGTTAATAAAATGTTCGTCTTATTTATTTTTTTCATTCTAGTAAACTAGTACAGCGGCTTTCACTGTTGATTTCATAACTTTATTTTATTTTTTTCTTTCTTATTCATTTCTTATAACTACAAATGTCTTCTACAAAAGTGGAGTTTGGGTTGAACTTGTGCCTCTTTAAACCGCCAAATCTAATCAAATCAAAGTAACCTTATTATAACATTCTTCAACTGTCTAGTTATTTTTGTTTACATTTATGTTGTTTGTGATTCTTTTTCTATGCGTTTTGTTTCTTTTCCATAATAAGCCTTACCATGGCATTAGTGGATAAAAATCTATCATCTTCATTAATTCTTGACAAACTTTACGGTTCTAACTCAACTGAGCCTCCTGCTCACGTGTTAGAATTTGATGATGTAGTAACATTGGCAGAATTTTCACCATACCTATGGTCTCATGACTTAATCTGCATCGCTTTTCCGTCAAAAATAATAGTTGCTTCAATTAAGTTCAAAGAAGAAAATAACGATCAAATAGAACCTCTGAAGTATGATGTTGTGAAGAAGTATTCTTGTTATGGCCGAGTGCAAGCAATATCATGGAGTCCAGAAACTAACATTAAAGTGGCACCCAAAACTATATTGTTTGCTGTTTCAACTAATACTTTTGAAATAAATATCTATGGTTCTGATGACACATATATTCATAAAATTAGTGCCCACCGGAACTATGTGAATGACATTAGTTTTGATCCATCTGGAGAGTATTTAGCTTCTGTGAGTGATGATCTTACCTGTAGAATATGGTCTGTAAAAAATGGATTTACCGAAGCCTACAAATTCTATTTGGATTCATCTCCCATAACAGCCAAGTGGCATAAAGATGACCCAGGAAAACTTCTTGTGGCTGAAACATATGGAGTTGTTAAAGTTTATAATGTTCTTGGAGGCACGGCAATAATCTCATTCAGATCAAAATTAAGCCCTCTTATATCATTAGACTGGTGTTTAAATGATTGCCAACATATTATTGCTATGTGTGGAGGAAATCTTGTAAAATGGAATATGAACAATCCTAGTATCCCTGCCTATGATAAATTAGTTCATCCTGATGGAGGATTTTTCGCTAAATATATTTCTTTGTCTGAGCAAACCATTGTTACTTTGGGAACTCCTGATTTTTCATTAAAAGTTTTGCACAGGGACAAACCATATCCAAAGACTATTGCTACTATGAAATCTGCATCAAGCCTCACGGTTCATCAGCATCTTCCGTATGTGTGTGTTGGTGTAAAAAAGAATATTTATATGTGGCTTATAAATGAACCATAGTGTGTAAATAAATGAAAATAATTTGTTTTATTTTTAAAATTATTAATTTATTTCTTAATTTTTCAACTTTGTATAAAATACTGATTTTATAAATTGTAAAGGAAAATAGTAAACAAATTTCAATAATAGGTATATCAAGTTTATGGTAGTAATTTGTTCAAATTTATTTTGTAAATCACGCAATATATAAGTTTATTTCTCTTTTGAATTTGGATTTTTTTTAAGAAGAAAAATCTTGATCCTTACAATCTTAGTACTATCAATACATTAAAATAAATGAGACATCTAGTGATGAAAATAGATAACTTTTTTAGTTAGTCCATTTTCATAATTTAAACATTTAATTTGCTCTGTGAAACAGAAAACTACATAGAAGGCTGCCAAAAATGTATTCTTTCAATAGCAAACTTTATTTATGTGTTTATTTATTTATTTTTTTAATTTGAATTTGTAACCCCTTTTTGTTAGTTGACATTTCAAATAAAAGTGTTCGTTATTTTTATAAAATACCATTTTGATAGTACTGTTTTTTTTTGTTTTTTTTTTTGTTTATGATATGGACTGTTAAAATATTTAAGGAGTTCTTTCGAGATATAGCTTATTCATAATGTGTTGTCATAAGACGTTTATTGGTCGAAGTTCTTTCACAATTGTATCAACATGTAAATAGCAATACAACTATTAATCAGCATGTAAATCTTAGAGAAAGGAATGAATTTTTAATATTTAATTAATTAAAAACTACATTCATTCATCTACTAAAGATTTAGCTCAAAACGAGTATCAAGGGAATCAATCACATTGGTGTAGCAGGATTTAAATAAATAAGAGGACAATAATTGTTGGTTAAAATAAAATTGAAATACTAACGACCCTATTTTTTTATTGTCTTCCAGTTTTCTTGTTAGAAATTCATTACCACATATTGTATAATTTTTTTTGCACTGTAGTGTTGCAAAAACTTCTAATCTTTCACGATTGTATTGTAAAAACAGAAATTTTAATTCACAATGTGTCTCTCCTCTTGAATACAATAGGCAAATATTTTAATTTCTGTCAGGTGAAACAAAATCATTACCTAAAGCTAAAGGTTAAAAAAAATATTTGATATTATACCAAGATATATGGTAATTAAAGAATGGATTTAATATGATGTTTATTATTTTAATATTTAGTTTTTTAATAAAAGTCTCAAAATTGGTTTGGACCAAATAAAAGCTCCTCTCATGCTCAAATGCTTGAATGGGGAACTGTTGGATTTATCAGTGGGTTAGTGAATTGTACTCTCCATTTTTGTTTTTCTCAGTAAAATATATATTAGACATAAACATTTCATTAAGCTTCAATACTAGGACAGTGGCAAGTCGAGACGGTACAACTTTGAATTTAAAGTGAGCATCAGGACCCGTTAAGTTCCCTTGAAACTACCGGGCTCTGCATTTTAAAGACCAGAAATGAACCATTTTCAAGATAATGCAAGGTAAAGGATTTACAGGCTCACTTTAGTTGTAGTGCTGCCGTGGGATATATATTTCATGTCTTCAACTTGGTTTCTTTGAATGAGAGAGGAGTTTATAATATTTCTCAAAGGCGTCTTTTGTCGGTATACCGTATCTTCGTTAGTTCTTCATAAAATCCAATGATTGAACCATCATTTTGAAGATTTCCTTTTCTTTTTAAGTGAGAAAAGTCACATCACCCCAAATTTCAGGTTAAATAGTTGTGAAGGAAAAGAATGTTTATTTGTGAATAACTCAAAAAGTATACATTTAATGGTTGATTTTACCCATGATTTTTTGAGAGGTTACTAAATTTCCAACAAAAAAATCATCAAAATCGAACTATTATTAGCCAAGATATAGCTTACTTCAATTTGTTAACGTGTTAGTTTAAAATATGAATGAAGTTTTAAATTAATATTCTTTTCATTGGTTGATTATAATGAGAAAATAAGAATTGATTCTCTAATTTTCTATATGCTGCTTCATTTTATTTCCTTATTATTTTGACATATGTTTGATGCCCAAGAATTTAGTTGTAGTTATACCCAAAGGTGAGACAAGAATTCTCATAACAATAAAAATGTTAGGCATGTACAGGATGAACCAATTACCAATATTAATTAATTATTGATGGAAGTTCATAAACTGTTCTACATATCACCAAAACAGAAATTATTAAAGAAATATAAAATTAACAAAATACCTTATATAACAAAAAGAAAAAACAAATTTGACTTTTAAAGGTAATTGCATTCATACATATATATGGAATTCATACAAATTTCAATGGAATTTATTTCGTAAAAAAAAATCTGTATTAATAAAAAAACAAAAAAACCAAGTTAGATTTTTTTTTTCACCATAGCCTATTACAAAAATACCGACGATAACTTGCAAATTTCAAAGTTAATTTTTTTTTCTGAATGCTTCAAAATTAAGGGGGCTTGTGACGTTTGAATTAATGATTAAATTTTAAGGCTGTTTTGTAGTCAAATGTTAAGTCATTGCTATTGGGTTAATCCACTTCAAGTGGCCCATCACAAGTCAATTGATTACTTAATTTTTATTTAGTTAGTCCATTTAATACATATTTATTGCATGCAATGTTAATTTTTGTTTCAGGTTTTTAGTCACTTTCAGATTTCACTGACACGTGCACTTTTCAAATTTACTGAAACCTGGAATGTTTTATGTCTTTCTAATAAAGTTCACTGTGTTCTCCTCATTCTGGCTGACATTAAAGCCCTTTTTTGAACCAAATATACTAATGTTTACATAATATGTGTTACCAAATGTGAATGAAGATAATTCTATTTTCACAGAAAAATTTCTTAAAGATGGAACAATATCTAAGCCCAAGTGTTTTGCATTCTTGTAAAACTATGTGTGTACTTATTTAATATAAAATATTAGTTGTGAATAACTTACCAAAGTTAAGCCATTTTAAAAATACATTTTTATTTCCAATTTTCAGCGGTAGTATCTCAGTCGGAGGACCATACAAAAATCTGAAAATTCCATACAAAACACCTCTGTAGTACCAAACTCCAGTAACAATTTGAATTATATGTTAATTTTAGTGAAGAATACTTTATTTACACTTCCTGGAGAAGTGGGCAAGAGTAGAATATATTTAATATTTAAATAATGTGCTAATAATATTATGGGATGTTTGATGCTAAAGAGATCTTTTATTTAAGGCTTTTTAAAATTATTGCATGGTCCCCAAATAGAGATATTGCTGCTTAAATCTGGAAAAAGGTAAAATATTATTTTTTATTTTTTTATTTTTTTTTTTTTATCAATATCTCTTTTGGCGGACCTAACAAAAATTAAAAAAATAATCATACAAGAGATCTATGTAGCATCAAACTCCAATAAAAATTTCAATGTTCAAATCTTTTAAGATTCAACTCTGTATTTAAATTTTTTGTATTTTATTTATCTGTTTTCATTGTATTTTTATATGCAGATATGTATATCTAAGATTTTTTTTATGGACTGAAAATGAAGAGTTTAAGAAAAAAAAATTTAAATTACTGTGTTCGGGTTGTTCTTGTAAATATTCTTCTAATCATTTCAGAGAGAGTACAAAAGTTGGAAACAAAATGATTTTCAGCAAAATATCGGTTGGTACCGGTTTTTTTTTTTTTTTTTTTTTTTTTTATGTCATATTGTATTTTTAAATAAAGAAATATTACATAGTAATGATTGATAAAACTTTTCATCTTGCTCAATTTTGTCTATTTTAATAAATAATAAAAAAAATATTATAATAAATGAAATTTATTAATTTATAACAATCTTACTCAAAATACTGCTTTAGTATTACTTCCTACCGAAGCTTACTTTGTTTTTTTAATTAAAGCTTGGATTTAGTTTTTACAATGTTGTTTTATTTAAAGTATATGTGTTTAAGCAATATAGTTATGACAAGGATTAAGCAGAGAAATCTCCTTTTTAATATACATGGAGGGGGGTTATATTTTTTAAATAATTCAAATTTTACACAATTATCGACTGTCTATGGCAGTGCTGGTTGATTTCCTCTAGGTCAATAAACTGAGCTAATAGCTTATTCGTTATTCAAGCAGTTTAGAGAGAGTTTAAGAATTTTGATTATTTAAATTTACCTCACATTTTCACCGCCACCACCCATTTTTCAAAAGTTTCTTTATATCTTATATAACCTCTTTGGAATAAACTGTTATTTTCAATATGTTTTAAATTATTATTAGATCATATGTTTTAATTATCATATGATTTAATGCAGTGTTATGTGGTGTAATTAAATAAACGCTTTCCCTTGTTTGTTATTTTAAAAATATTAAGTATTCCAACTGGAACAGTAATTGATTGGCCATCAATCTCTATATAATCAATATATAACCTAATCTAATCTTGCCAGAAAGAAAAGGGTGCCAGGATGGACTAATAAATTTCACCTCGGTCTCGGATAATTTCTGTTAAAGATCTTTCACTGGCGACAATGCTACTAAAAACAAAAAATATATAATGAGTTTTTTATATCTCTTGAAGCGCAGTACTGTCTAGATAATAAGTCCTCTTTGGCTCTTGATATGAGGTGTGCTATTCCAACTATTATAAACTCTCCCATTCTTTAATGTATAGCAGATTGAATATTGTTTTTTTAAATAATAAAAAAAATGGTTATGAAGAAGTTTCCTGAGCATTTAACATTTTAAAAGTTTTTTAAACTAAAAGCTCTATATTTTTATAATTATAAGTATATAACATGATTAGTAGGACATAATCGACCATGTGCTGATAGGCAAGAGGCATCAAAACTCCATACAAGAGGAGTTATTGTGGAGCAGACTGTGATTAGAATCAAACTCTGTCAGAGGTTGAAGCAAATCCACCGAATTGGGGACCAAGTGGAAAGAAAGAGTTACGAAGTCCGTAATTTGAAAAACCCTATAATAAAGCTGAATTTCAAATTCAGCTGAAAAATAAATTCGAACCCTTGAATGTAGAAGGCCTCACAGTTGAGCAACACCTGGGATTCAGGATCCAGGAAAAAAGAAAAGCCAATAAATGGTTCACAGATACATGGGAAAAGCAGTGGAGGAAAGAAGAAAAGTCTTCTGTTTAGCACAAACTAATCATGCTATGCTGGACAAATACACAGCCGCCAGGAAAAAGACAAATAAGATAATAATAACAGCAAAAAGAGAATTCCTCAAAGAAAGATTACAAACTATTGAGGAAAACCGGCAGGCTGGAAATATATGTGAATTCTTCGCAGATATCAGGAAAGAAAGGGT